GAGAGAGAGAGAGAGAGATAGAGAGAGAACAGAATACTACTAGAATAACATTCTTGGTTGAAATAAAACAACGTAGTCTATCTAGGCTGTGCCAAGGTTATCCAGATCTGCAGAAAAGACTGAGTTCCCAAGACTTGGACCCTCATTTTCTCGTGCAGTCAGGCGTTGGGTGAAGACATAGGGAGACCTCCCAAGCTTATGTTTAGTTAGGTCAAAGATTGTTCTTCGAGCGACCATGTGGGTGGTTCTAAACGTTGCTCTCATGTGGGTGGTTAAACGGTGCTCTCATGTGAGTGGTTAAACGGTGTTCAGTGTGGTTGTTTCTTCTTTCCTTTCAAAACATCTCTATCGTCCTTATCTTTCCTCTTTCTTTTCTTTGTGTGTTATATTACTCCCTGGTGACACCTCTAATTTTCCGCACTTATTTGACCTTTTGACCTATTTGTGCTGCAAGTGCCGTAAAACTGTTATTAAAACTTCTTTTTAAAAAGAGCTAAAACGTCACGTGTTGGTATTGAGGGATGGAAGGATGGAGGGAGGGAGGGAAGGTATGAGTGAGCAAGGGAGAATGCATTGTTTTGATATCATTATAACATGTTGACATTACTGAGTCACAGAAGCAGGCGTGGGTGCCTGGCGGGTGCTCTGGAGTGGTTTGCTTCTTTTTTCCTACAAAACAGCTATCTCCTCCACCCTTATCTCTCCTTTTTTCATGTTACTTTCTAGTTACATATACATTTCTAAACGTTGGCACATATTATGATATGTTTGTATTGCAAGTGTCATAGATCTCGTACTAAAACAAAAACCTAAAAATTCAGAATAAGCTGGTTAAACGATGCTGACAATGTATTTTAATGCAGGGCCAATGTTATGTTATGTTATGTTATGTCATGTTATGTTATGTTATGTCATCTTATGTTGTGTTGTGTTGTGTTGTGTTGTGTTGTGTTACTCCTTTGCTCCAAAGACTTTTTTAAGGGGGAAAAAAGGGGGGGGGGGGGAAAAAAAACAAACTCAAAACGTCGAAGGCACCGGCTGTACAAGAACGTGCTTGACACTACATGTATTTATAGGGAAACAGTTGTGGGTGCTTTACGTCCCTGTTGACACAGTTTAAATCATTTAGGACGCCTGCCTGTTAAGGCCAGTCGGGCTGAGAGAAACGCAATGTCCTATTGGACATACGGAGACATTCGAATAATAAAAAATTTTAAAAACAAAAAAAACTTTCACACACTGAAATTGGACTCGTGTCTTCTGCGTGCGTAGGTAAAGCACGTATCAGCCCAACCACATGCCGGAAGAGAATTTTTTTGAGCAGAAACAATTCATGGTTGTGTTTATTTTTGTTTCAATTTTACACCACAGTTGATTGAAACAGGTAATCAAGAAGGCAGGTGACACGGTTCAAGGGCGGGGGAGGTCTTCTTTCGCTTGCCTGGACCTGTGGTAAACAAATCGGGAAAAGGAGGAGAAAGGGGGAGGGTTTTCCTTACACCCGCCTGGACCTAAGATCAAGACATCGGGAGAGGTTAGTTGGGGGGAGGGGGACGCTTGACAGAGGACAAAGTAAGTGGAGAAAAAAAAGCAGGTTGGTAATGGTGTACGCATGACGCCCATCGAACAAGGGCATTGCGTCCTACAGTTGTTGGAACAATCGATTGTTTATTTTCCCCTAGCTCACTCAATGTGACATACGTACTGTGATCGTACATGCGATTGCAAGATCATAAACCTAAGCTCCCACCATGAGCCCAATCAATCTATACTATATGACCAGTTTCTTTCACTTCGGTAGGTGTGGGCCCCCTGACCCATGATCCAAAGTGTCCCTCGAACCACATACCACATCCGTACTTAAAAGGTAGAAAGTATTTATCCAGGCGCGAGTGTTGATTGATCGATCATGTGTTGTAACGCAAGCTGGCGGCCTCTTTTCGTGCAAGCCAATTTCATATTCCACTCTTCATTGGCTCTGTTATTTCAGGCTTAAGTGCAACTAGTCCGTCAATATTTGCTGCTCTTGTACGTATTATTTTAAGAAAGAAAGCACATGTGGACCATTAGCAGTTGAAGGACGCGCACACTTTATTATGTCCAATACAATAACATGTTCAACTTCATCAGTAGCGGTCTGTGAAGACCTTCTTCTTAGCTTTTACAGTAGTTGGACGTTGCTTCTCGAACCATTCTCCAATAAATACTCTGTCTCTTTCCATTCTGCCTGCCTGGGTGGTTTTGGCTCCGAACCAGGCTTCTATGCCATATTCCCATCTTCTGTTCGGTCTCCCCCTTCGTCTCTTTCTTTCTAGCCTTTCTTCCTGAACATGTTTCTCGAGTAAATAGTGGTTGTTATGCCCAGAGTAATTTAGTTTCAGTTTCATTGGTGAAGGTCATTCGGCGAATTATATTTTATCCATCTGATATATAGCTAACCATGTCCTTGTCCAATGATAAATCCAGCCATTTATTCAAAACCTTAATGTGGCTTCGGAGACATATTTTGGTAGGCAAAAACACACCTCTTATATGAATTCAAAATGTTAGAAGGGGCGTTGAACCCACATCATACGACACCATACCATGCTCTAGTTTCTTTTGTCCATCATTCGGTATTTACCACAAACTGACACGATTTTCTTTTTAAAAAATAGCAAACAGAATAAAAGACAGGTTTAAATCAATTTATTGAAAACGTTT